GGGCACAGCAGGATGATGCTGGGACTGTGAATTACGTAATGAATCATTGAATCATTAATTAATCCTTGAATCCAAGTGCTGGTTCAGTAATTAATCTGAATCCAGCTCAGGATTCAGATTAATTGATTAATTACATGTCTGCATTCGAGAGGGCTGGCAACATCGAGATCTTGAGGATAAATTGGCCGTGTCTGGAATAGGTCAAGCTCGCTCGTTGCCTTCACCTTCTTTCGCTGTGTACTTAAAGAGCGGATTGACCTTTTCCCAAATGAACTGTAGTCGTTCATGTCGGCTTCCATCTCATCAGTTTCGCCATCGAAAAATCCCGCTCGAGCTTGAGTTTCAACTTCAGCCTGTCGGACATATTCATCGAACATGCTACCTACAACGGACTGCATGTCGCTGTACCACAGCGGCTTATCCATCGCGATTTTCCAGTGCCGCTCAAAACAATCATATCCATAGGATGGATGGAGTGCCAGGGCCGCTCGGTAGACTGGTGTACGGTCCGTTTTGAGGTAGTAGTCTTCAAGCTTCCTCCACCCGCAATCAATTCCCGACTTGAAATGGGACGGCTCCTCGAACCGAGTCTCCTCTGCCGCCTGCCTAAATTTAACAAATAAATAGTCCATTGTCTTGAGGGTCTCCCACACCGCACCATGGCCGCCCTCTGTCCCTAGTTTACTAGCGTTGCCCTCCATAGTCTTCGTAAGGATGTAGAACGGCTGCAGGAAGTCACGGAAGCGCTCCAGTTCGGTCCAGTCCGCAGCGTTGAGGAAATCCTTTGCTAAGTCACGGTGGGCGGAATCATGTTTGGGTTTTTGCCAGCGAGATTGATAAAGCTCAATAGCGCTTCGCAGTTCAATTGCTAGGTGAGGTCAAGAGTGTGTCAGCAGGTATAACGAAGACGTGTAGGCATATAAGCATACCGCGACTGATCATGTTGTAAATAGAGTTCCAGCGTGTCTTCCCGTCAACAACGATCTCCAGCGTAAATATGGCATCATCCCCAGCGAGCTCCGTCTGTAAAAGCCGAAGCGCTTGTCGTCGCTGGTCCGTCCGGCGGATATAGGTGGCCAGGTTGTGGAGCCTGCCAATAGCCCCCTTCTTGGCCTAAATCTCGAAACTAAACTCGTCCGCTGCCCCACGAAGATCGGCCTCGAATTTGCTGACGTCTGACCCGAAGATCACAGCGCGGACCACCAGATTGAGAATGTGGCCGACGCATCGTAGCCGGCGCCGGCTCGTATCCATTGGGAACCAAGTAGCGAGCGTCTTGAGGCAAGTATCGTTGCTTTCGGCATTATCGAGCATGAAATAACCAGTTTAGATCCTATTTCGTATTGGTCAATTACCTCCTTAATATAGGAAGCCATATTTTCGCCAGAATGTGGACCAACTAGACGCGGCAGTCCAAGAAGTACGTCCCGTTTTTTGCCTCGATTGTCGACGAAGTGGCCAACAACACCAATGTAGTTGAACCCATTGGATGCGGTCCAGAGATCAAAGCTAAGGTGAACGCAACTTTTTGCATTCTTGACGAGATTAAAGACGATCTGCTGGCGAGATTCGAAGGTCTGGCGGATCCACGAACAGACCGTTGTGTGGTGCTCGGGAAGTAGCTGGCTGGCAAGATCCCCGCCATTTGCGATCAACCACCGAAGCCGCTCGCTTGATGCTTGCCGGAAGGTGACGTCTTCGAGGATTACCCAGTCCACAAAACGAGCTTTCCATAACTTTTCGTCGCAGTGCGGGGCAGGCGGAAAGCTTAGACTAGTCTGTCGCGATAAGGGGCGTACAGAGGAAGCGACCTTGGCCGTCTTGGTGAACGGGGTTTCCAAGCATGGATTCCTGTCACCAATTTGGTGCTGACGGAGTAGGTGCCTTGCGGCATGAGCTGTCCCCGACGAAGCGTACAGAGCCGTCGAATGACTTCTTCTTTCGTGACAAAGCCTGCACAGCCAGTAGCGTATCCCTTTGTGCTCTAAATTTGCGCCGTGTTGATATATCCATGACTCTTTCACCTTCGTGCCGACGACCCGTCGGTGACGCGGCCTCTTTTTGGCGCCCAGAAGTCTTTTTCCGCCATGCCATATGTTTGCCCAGTCAATGTCGAACTCGCATTGAGATGCATCGTCTGCAGCAGGCTCGGGAGTTGCATCGGTCGGGGTCTGAGGTATATCGAATACAAGGGAGCGGGGTGTAGATGACACAGGGCTCGACGTCCTGCTAGAAGATGCCATAATTCAGCTATGAATGTAATGAACGAAGTACGATGCGCATTCTGCAACTGCTTCCTAGTAAGCGTAAGTATTGTCAGTTGAGAAGAATACGCCCCCCTTCATTTCCAGGGCATAGCTGACCAGGGATTGCACTGAGACATTTGCCTAATTAGACAAACCCAGACCGACTGAGACCAACCCAGACCGACTTGCCTCTCCCGTCTGTCGGTCTATCGAGAATGGTCGGTCTGTCGGTCTGCAGTCTGCCAGACGGACTCAATCGGTCTGTCAGACGGTCCGTCTGTTAGCCACACTGGCCTTGACCGGTTCCTGACTACTCAGAGCAATGCAGTAGATACCATGCAAGCCACGGACAATGCAAAGAATAGAGCTTGACCGCTGGGCCAAAGTTCTCCATGCTGCCAAGTTGAAAAATTGTCATGTTCTAAACAGAGCTGAAGATGCGGCAATAATAGTAAGAGAGGGTCTCTTTTTCTGAAATCTGCCCGGGTCTTGACTAGTAAACAGTGCTGGAGGTTGCAGTACTGATAATAGACGGTCCTTTTCCAGCACTTTGTCCCTGTCTTGACTAGTGAACAGTGATGTAAATGTTGCTGGACTGGTAAAGTCGGCCTCTTTCCAGCACTCTGTCCATGTCTTGACTATTAAACAGTGTTGTAAATGCTGCAGGACTAGTAAAGTCGGCCTCTTTTCATCAGTCTTTCCCTGACTCGACTGGTAAACGGTGATGTAAATGCTGCAGTACTGGTAAAGAGACAGCCTCTTTCTAGCACGTTGTCCCTGTCTTGACTACTAAACGATGACGCGTACTGGTAGGAGACAGCCTGTTTTCAGCACTCTGTGTCAACCTTGACAGGTAAACGGCGATGCAAATGCTGCAGTACTGGTAATCAGCTTTTTTTTGCAAGCCTGACTTTGCCTTGTTATCTGGCGCAAATATTCCGTGATCTTTGTACAGGTGATTCAGCGCATTCTGAAGGCCAATAGCAACGATATTCTTCGGCCTGGGGTCGTTTTTCTGAATGCAAGGCTTGCAGACCCATCTGCGCTCGTCCTCATGTTGTATGTCGTATCCAAATTTAAGCCCATGAGTTTAGTTGATTAGTCAGGATTGTCTTGATCTAGTTGATTTAGTTGAGTGTAGTACACTAAGTTGATCAACCAGTGCAAGTCGTGTAGTTGATTGGGTCTCTGGGGTTGATAAGACTGCGTTGTAGCACTCTACGAACTCCCACCGGAAACGCTGTCTGTCAACTGGCGCAGCTCGTGAATGTCCACGCTGGTTGCCATCCCCCTATGGACATCCACACTCGACTGCCATTATTTGGCTGGCGCTTGGCCGATGTCCTCTGAGGGATACATAGCAGTATGCGTGGACATCTAGCGCTGGCGCCGCTCAGGCATCAGTCACCAGCCATCGTAGAAGAACAATCATCGTGCCAACATTTTACTCCTAAGAAACCACCCCAATTTGACTCCCATGGGCTTCTTGAGCCATGACTAGATCCTGGTGGTCGAGCAAATGGCGGGAAGAAGCTGTAGGTCGCTTAGCAGCCCACACAGAACGTTTTGCCGGTGCCCTAGCTTTGCTTCGTATCTACAAACAACGTACTGATCGGCTGTCTATGCTATATACCACTGCCTTATATTTTGCCGCCTTTCTGGGTATGTACCTTTCACTGGCCACTCCGATGCTCTCTTTGATGTCTCCATGATGCTTGCTGCCTTCCGACACTTTGCCTCTGTAATTCTTCGTGCCAGAAATAGGGTAGCATGCTTGAGGTGGGTGGTTTGGCTCGGCTGCCGGCGGGGGGGGGGGGTGTCTAGCCTCCAGCAATCTGCTGTTAGACGCCAGCTACCAAAGCGTGGCTCCGCACATCCGCCCCTCACTGAAGGTTAATGATCTTCAGCTTGCCATGCGATTCAGTCTAATGACCGGCCCGTGGTGGGGCTGCAAGCACATCCGGTCTCCCCGGCAGTGTCTCAAAGAAGCCGATGCAAATCATCCCATCACCAGGCTTGCAAACAAATAAATCAACTCAAATCCGAGGCTGGATCTGAGTTGGGTGGATTTTAGAAAATTTCAATCTGATTTATTTGAATTGGCGCTCTTCCAGATTTGATTTGTTTGTCCCATTTGGATAATTCCACTCCTTTCCCACGAAGATATGCATTGCGCCGCCCCGATCAGATCCGCCTTCAGCCGGCCCCTCTGCGCCGAAACCATCTGCCCCGTAAGGCTGAAGATCCGTTCAGGCTCTGACGACATCGCCGGCACCGAAAAGAGGTCGATTGCCATTCGTGATAGCCGTGGATACTGGCGCCGCCTGAGAAGCCAGTACTGAACAGCGTCTTCCACCAGACAATCCCCGGGGTCTACCGTCGCCACCCACTCCGCATACTCATCTCGCATCGTCGACGTTGATGGCACAGGCTGGGTACTGAGCTTCCTAACTGAGGCCATATAATCGTCCAAGTCGCTCAACTTCCTCGGCACCGTCGGCTGGTCCGGCAAGCTCTCTTGTTCGACCGACAGATCTCGGTACTGACTCCACAACTCCTCCACAGCCGCCTTCCCTCTTGCTATCCACTCCGGCCGATCCGCCCATTGCGACTCAACCGTGGTCCATCGATACGCCGGATGTAGTACAAGAGAAGCTAGATATGCCGGGCTCTCGTCTGTCAGAGAGTAGTATTCGTCTAGCTTCATCCATCCGAGATTGCAGCCGATTCGCAAATACGGCTCCTCATCCCGCTCGTGCCGGAACTTTGACTCTTCCAAGTGCTTCAAAAGCCATTCCATCGTTAACAACACCTCCCAGATCGCGCCAAACTTGCCTTCTCTAGGCCGGCCCTCCAGACGCTTGGTTGCTATCTTCAGTGGCTTGAGGATAGCAAGATACTCGGCAATCACCGACCAATCCTCCGCGGACATCTTGTCATCAACGATCGCAGGCTTCGGACGACTCTTCCCCGGCATCGGCTTTGTTCCATTTCGAGTCTTTCGGTCAACGTACTGTTCCCATTCCGTCACCTGCGCCTGGACCAACGAGTCAAGCGCATTCCAAAGCCGATATCCTCGCTCCATCATACCCTCTGACGAATTCCAGCGAGTAGCGTTATCCATGACAACGTCATAAGTTGTTCGGTCATCCTGGCCCAAAGCAATGTTCTCAATAGACTGAAGCTTGTGGAGCTTCTCGATCCGTTGTCCCGACCTCTGCACCCAGTGGACAATGTTGTGTAGTTTACCTATGGGTCCTTTGGATCTCCATAATTTAACATCATCTTGGATTTCCTTATTAGCCTGGCAGTCCTCTTCGAAGGCGTCCGCATCCGTTCCAAAAAGGATAGAGCGGGCGACAAGGTTGATGATATGACCGCAGCAGCGCAGCCGCCGGTGCGGTTTCTCGAATCCCATCTCACTCCCCAGATGTGCAAGGCAGGTATCGTTACTCTCCGCATTATCTGTGACAAAATACCCGACGCGGTTCTCAAAGCCATATTCATGTATTATTTCGCTAACTCGCTCGGCCAGGTTCTCGCCACTGTGACGACCCTCGATTCGTGGGAGGCCTAGCAAAAATGTACGGAATACACCTTCGTCATCGATAAAATGGACTGTCAGACCGAGTAGGGAGGTGAACTTTCGGGATGACCAGGCATCGAATGAAACATTTATGCGACTGAGCGACCGGCCGAGGAGCTCCGTCACGATACCCTTATAGCGACTGAACGACCGCAAAATCCATTCTCGAATCGTCGTATGGGTAGGGAGACTCCCTGAGTCGACTATGGAGCTGTTTGCATACGCCATAAGCTCGCGAAAATGCGGGCTTTCGAGCTTATGGAAGGGTACGTTGTCACATGCCACCCATCGGATCAGGAGGTGCCGAAAGTGTGCCGGTTCAAACGACGCGATAAAAGCGTTCATCAATGCTTGCTGTCTTGGTTGATGCGCATCCAGGTTAGCCATGCTGAAGAGGGTGCGCTGTCTTTTCTCGCGCGGCGGCATTGGGCCGTCTTTGTTGATGCGGTGGGTGTCCACCATATGGCCGCTTGCTTGGCTCGTCGATGCAGCGTCGTAAACGTGGGTTGTGGTGGTCCTTTTCCGGTGGCACATCTTGCATACCCAATATCTATGGCCGGTCCGGTCGTTTTCGACATCGTATCCATACTCCCATACCCAGCTTGTGCGCGGCCGCTTCCGATGCTTGCTGATCGAAAAGCCCGACAGGCGATTCCAATCGACGCCTTCATAGCCGTCGATAGAAAAGGGAGCACCATCCTCTAGGTCACGCAAAGGGGACGACGACATCGCACAGGACATATTGAGCGATGCATCTGAAATGGTCTCCGGCGCATGAGGAATGTTTTCCAGCTGCAATCCGGCGGTCTCGGTCGTAGCCATTGTAGATCGTGATAAGGGCCGCCAGCGGGTGACACAGCATGCGGAGAGCGAGTGGCGCGAAGCTGTATCGGGGAACGCGTGTTCTAAGCACTCTATATCCATCTCATTAGGTGGGTGTATGTCGCGTGTCGCGTGTCGCGCGTTGCTGTTGGGGGAAACTCTAATTCCTCGTGGGCCAAACTCACTATCATATGCTACCCTAGAGACAACCTTGGATTTGCCAAATCGGCAAATAAATCAGGTGTTAAGATCTGATTTGACTGAAAAACGGCGCACATCGAATTTGATTCATCTAAATGTGGCTTTTCTTCAATTTGATTTGGCTAATTTGAGTTTCATTTATTTGTTTGCAAGCCTGCCCATCACCATCACTGTGACTGTATGTCCGTTCCCCGGTCGATGTTATTCCCGCCTAGCGCACTGATATTCTCCCCCATGCCCTAGCATACGGGGTACTTTAAATGAGAATTTGGCCTAAGCCGCACTCGACTTAATTTGTGCTACATAGTAAAACCTCAGTTATTTGGAATAGGTATTCTTAGGTTATGGAGCAAAGGCACGTACAACGCCCCGCGTCAAGCCTCGCAAATGAAAGAGCCTTGAACAGTCAAAAGGCCATGGTCACGACGTAAACAGTACAGAAGTCTCAAAATAGTTCTGCGTATTTGCAATTTGGACTCTGTTGTGAGCTGCGTAGTTCAATTTCTTTCCCTCGAATGCGCTGGGAACCTGCAACGGAACGATTGGCTGATTCGGTCCTGCTGCGGTTTAAGGTTGTCATCCAAACTTGACGTCTATGGGACGAGGATGGTTGAAAGAAAGCCCAACATGTCTATTTTCGACTTCTGTCCAATGCACCATGCTTTTGGGTCATGTTTGCAGCAGTACATTGGTCTGTTGTGAGCATCTTCGGGCCAGGCAGCTGGCGGCAAGAACCAGAGCCACTAGATTTGGCACTGACAGGGGTCCCAGCTACAGAAGCTACCTGGACTGAGGTATCCTCCTCTTGTGGACACCATTAGTCTACAGCAATTTTGGTGGGAGGACATTTCCGGATCAGTGAATTCTTGGAAATACCCTTGGCCCCCCAGTCCCGAAAATGCTACTGTCCCCAGGGGCTCCCCCCTCTTAGGTACTTTGCTCGATGTACCTGAAGCACCCCACTTGTCCTTTGGGATCAGGAGCCTGTAAATGATCCTTGCACCCTCGCCAGCAAAAATTACTAACCCTCAGTCATTGACGTCAGAAAGCCGGGTTCCTTGGTGTTGTTCGAGGGGCAGATATGATTCACACATTGCAGCCTCAGGCACAACTTCTTTCCGCCGTACGTGAATCCATCGGATAAACACTCCATGACCATGCACTTTCTGCTGCGCGTCAGCCGTAGATGGCGACCGATAATCAAGATGACCCTCGATTACAATGGGCCCCGGTTACAATGGCCCACCGCGAGCTCGGTGCAGGTGTTGCTGGGAAACTCAATAATGGCGTCGTTGGACGAGGGGATAAATCCGTTTCATCCTGGCTTGGCAAGTCGGACTGCATTCTCGACTTGGTGTTGTACTATGGATACGCGTGCTCGGAAAAGACATGGACGCGTTCGGGGGGCGTTAGCGTACACGAATATGCTTAGTTGGGTTTAAAAGCGCTGGCAGAATGGGAGGACGGTTCCGTCTCGGATGGTGCATCAGCGCTGAGTCTGCAGCAGCCATCGTACGCTAGGTTCAACGACGTCAACAGCTCATCTCACGGTTTGGTGATATGGATTGACGTATTACGTAATCGAACGTGATATTGATCGAGTTGAGTTGACGCTAGTGGTCAATTTCTTTAACCCGGTTGAATTTCGTTGAGTGGTGTGCAACCTTGCAGACAACACAGGTAGAACACCTCCTCCCTAGCTGACCAGCTATACACACCAGACGTGGGTTACCTTCGACGTTCTCACCCAGCACCGTACAACCGCAGCGACGTGATGCCCTCCATTACCACAATAGACGGTGTAGTATTTGCCCCAGACCTCACGAAGCCCGATAGTCTGGTCCTACGCAACCTTGCCGCCGATATTCGAGCTGCATCGGCTGGAAGGCAGGAAACAGGGCTACGCCGCAACCATGTCTGTCCGCCAGCGGGCAACGGCTCAGCGCAGGCGGCTACTAAAGAGGAGGCCTCACAAGTCGGTACAGCACGCCTACCCTGACCATCCCTTCCCTATCCTGTTCCAGCCATCTCATCATGCCTAACACTTTATTGTATATCTAGGATCAGGCGATGCGGACACGCTGGCTACGCTGAGCGCTATGAACGACCCAAAGGATGCTCGGTTTGAGCCAACCGTTTTCAGTGGCACGGACATTAACGATATTCGGCTGCCCGCCTTTCTCGACACTTGGGTCTTACGCCCTTACATTCGCATGGCCCGGTCCTTCGCCCGCGTTGACACGGATGTGGTGATGATCACACATCTCTTGCTGTACTTTGCGACTTCCGTCCCAAGCGCGGCGTTGCTCTTCTGGCATTTTACCTGGGCCCATGGCTTGCTCCATTTCATCATGCAGGTCAGCTATATGGGCACCTACACGCTTATGATGCATCAGCACATACACATGCGTGGTATTCTCCGTCAGCGGTTTTGGGTGTCGGACGTGCTGTTTCCGTACATCACTGATCCGCTGATGGGCCATGCCTGGAACTCCTACTATTACCACCACGTGAAGCACCATCATGTAGAAGGCAATGGACCTAACGATCTCTCCTCCACTGTCCGGTACCAGCGCGATAGTGTTCTCCATTTTCTACACTATACTGCGCGCTTCTTTTTCCTTATCTGGCTTGACTTACCGTTATACTTTATATGTAAGGGAAGATCCTATCTTGCTGCCAAGGTGGCGTTTTGGGAGGTTGGATACTACGGGGTGCTGTACGCGCTATATCACCTTAACCATCGCGCCACGCTTATTGTGTTCCTACTGCCTCTGCTGCTACTCCGATCTGGCCTGATGCTGGGCAACTGGGGCCAGCATGCCTTTGTCGACCATGATGAGCCAGACTCAGATTACCGTTCGAGCATTACATTAATTGACGTACCTGTAAGTGGCTCTCTCTCCGTCTCTCTCCAACCCCAGGTCCCTCAGGACTCCGGTGGAGTTGTATGCCCTCTGTCTAACCGCCGCACACTATAGAGCAACCGCTACTGCTTCAACGACGGCTACCACACCTCACACCATTTAAATCCGCTTCGGCATTGGCGCGAGCATCCTGCGTCCTTTGTTAAAGACAAGGGACTCTATGCAGCACAGCAAGCCCTTGTGTTTCATAATATTGACTATCTTATGATCACTGTGCGGCTACTTATGAAAGATCATTACACACTTGCGAAATGTATGATTCCTATTGGAGACCAGATCCGCCTGACTCTAGATGAACGAGTAGCCCTACTCAAAAACCATACAAGGCAGTTTTCAGAAGAGGAGATTCGTATCAAGTTCAAATAATAATACTAAATAGCTTTATTTAATACTAAAACTAATAAAGGTTAACGTGGTTGATAAGCGAGTGGGCTGGATAAGCGAGTGGGCTGGATAAGCGAGCGGGCCACCTTCTCCGACCCTTCAATCAGCGTATTTGCCGTGGTCTCATTTGTCGTGGTCTCTGAATAGATGGGCATTTGCGTTTTGGATACCCTTCTCCGCGAAACTTCGGGGTCGTGGGCTCTTGATCCGGACGCAGCGTTTGCAGACCCATCGGCGATTGCCCTCAAAATTCTGTACATCATATCCAAAGTCCCATACCCAAGAAGACGTATCACGCACGCGCTGTGACCATGTGTGGTCTGGGAAACAGCGCCAAAGGTTTTGATGTTCCGGGTCTGGAAGCGGCGTTGCTGACCGCGAGCTCGGTGCAGGTGTTGCTAGGAAACTCAATAATGGTGTCGTTGGGCGATGGGACAATTCAGTCTCATCCTTGCTCGGCAAGTCGGACTGCATTTCTAATTTAGTGTTGTACATGGAGACGCGTGATCAGAGAGAGGGACGCGATCCTCGCGTTGGGATTTAGCGTGCAAGAATATGCCTAGTTGGGTTTAGCACCATCAGAATGGGAAATGCCCCGTCTCGGATGGTGCGTCTGCGCTGACTTTGCAACTGTGCTGCAGCATGATGATCGGCTTGCTACAACAACGCAGGAATACGACGAGCCAATAAAGAGCAGCTCTGTTCCTGCCAAACGTTTGAAGAAGAAGCATGGCACTTCTCACACTGTGATTCCTTCGCGGAAGCAAGAAGATTTGCCTCGTACACAAACGGCCGCAAACCCGCCCGTGGTACAAGAATCTCTCTGGAACAGTTACAAAGAACTCCACAGCATCCAATTTGGCAACGGCGCGTACTTTCCCGTAGCGCAGCGGACAAAGCTCCAACCAGACAAGCATTCCCTCTGCATCGTGAAAAGGTTCGCTGGCGCCAACGTCGACGGACACATACACGCCATTCGACAGGTTGATCATCAGCATTTTGTGCAGGCTCAAAATTTTTTCTCTGTACAAACCGAGTTGTTTGTTACGTTTGAGTTCATGCCAGTGTCTCTTGCAGAGGTTGAAGGAAATCCTCTCCTAGACGATCTCCAGCTGGCATCTATACTAGGACAGGTATGTCGCTCAACTTTAGCGACAGTCAAGATCACTGCTGAGAGAATTAGGTCGCGGATGGTTTGTTGTACCTGAATAATAATTCTCTGGGTCATGGCCAGCTCACATGCTCCAACATTCTGGTCGATATGCACGGAAATGTAAAGCTTTGTAAGTCGCCGTGTGAGACTGCGAAAACGTCGGACTGACTCAGCATAGGGGGTCAAGAATTCCTTCACGATCACCTCAACTTGAGAGAAACTATGCATAGTATCGCTGTAACTACAACGAGACTTATACAAGGGTATGCTAAGGAAGATGGGCGGATTGGGCTAGACATGCCAGACCGGTGTCCGCTTGGCTTTGACTTTCTCTCTGCCATTGATCAGATGACGAGCATCGAGGATCTGACTAAAGTATGTATACAAACATGTTGGCCTAGAAGGTATGCCAACTTGCGTAGCACCCACTGCTGAAACAGCATTGGCACAGGGAATGGCTACCAGAGGACTGGCAACCGCTACCATTACCATGCTGGCCCGCCGCGCCGACGGTCAATGCGCCAAACAGAAAGCAAATGCCAAAAACAGACAACAACAACAACTCGCAGAACGGTGCGCCAAGCCACGAGCCACGCCAACTCCTCAAGAGCGAGCTTAAAGTTGTGTGGCCGACAATTTTGTTCCTGGCAGCTCTGACGCGACGGCTTTAGATCGGCTGCACTGCGGATACGTCCTCACACAAGCTCAAAGCCAAGATGCCGAAGAGGAAATATCGCATAGGGCAGCTAGACGGACTAGGCGGGCCGACTCGGTGCCGCACAAGAATCGACGAAACTCGGGCGTTTTTTTATCTGGTGGCGTTTTAAGCGGTTTCAGCGGGAAATGAGGCCAAGATATCGACAATCACAAAGGGCCAGTCCATCAGGTGCGCCGCCATACTCAGCCGCTTGCTTCTGAAAGAACGGGGGAAATGGTCTCAGTAGCCTCTTCTGGTGTTGATTGCAATTTTTGACTTCTATGGCGCGCAGTTTTAAGGCTTCAACAGCCCAGAAAACCCTACAAAGCGACCTTCAACTTCGCAATGTAGCAATAAGGAACCAACAGTGGCGGGCTCGATCTGACGGAGGGTTCAGTTGGAATGGCTTACGCGAGAAGATGCAGACGCAGCAAAGTAAAATAAAAATATGTGCATTATAGATGCAGATTCTTTAGATGACGTAGTATCCATCTCGGTTTCGAATTTGGAAGGTCTTGGTATCGCTACCGGCGGAAATTTGGAAATAAAGAGTTAAAGCGTGCCAGGCCATAGCAAGGAAGACAGGTCACAAAATAGTCCGCAGAACCTCTGCTGCTTCTACTCTCACTCTTTCCCGCTCTTTGCTTGTTGTGGCGTTCCCAGTCGCTTGTTGGTTCTGCAATCCGTTGTCTTGCCGGGCGAGCTGCGCAAGGATCAACCCAAAAAGTTGAGGCGGATTCTCTGCCTCGCGGGCCGCTTCATCGAAATCTTTCGTCTGTCGACGATTGCGTTGACGCGCGCATAGGATACTCAACCTCTCCTTGCGGTATGCGTCCTCTGTTTTCAGCCTTTGCTGTGCGCGCTCTTCTGGCTACCATCTGGTGTGATTCTCACCACGCCTTTGGGCACGCAAATCATGGATTGTGACATCGCGTATCAATCTGCCAAACTCCAAATATTGTATGTCTTAGTCTTTGTTCGCATGTGCAGAAGCACCCTCTCAGGCCCTTTTTTTTTAGTCATTCTTGTTACGCTGTCAGGCAAGGATACCAAAGATTGATTCCTGAGTTCGGCGTGGCTTTGCTGCACCTCAAGAACCCATTACTGGACAGCGATGGGAGAGGGGTTAATATATTAAGCCCGCGCGGG